ATTACTGTATATATGTATCTTGCTGTGGGAGGAGCCAAACTCTGTATTAAAAGTAAAGTACAGATTTGCCTTTATATTCATATTTCTATATCTATGGGTTTACTAATAATGTTTACAGCTTTCACTATTTCTGCAATTTGTTATATAATATTCTTAGTTTGAATCCCTCAGGCTTGTGACACTTTAACTGCTCAACATTTACATAAACTGGCCCATGCATACAAGGGGTCCCAGTAGTTTAACCACTTGACATCCAGAAGGTTTTACCCTCTTCATGACCACACCATTTTTTGCTATTTAGAACTGTGCTACTTTAACTGGCAATTGTTCAGTCATGCAACATTGTACCCAAATTACATTTCTATATTTATTTCCACACAAATAGAGATTTTGGTAGTGTTTGATCACCACTGGGTTTTTTATTTTTTATTATATAAATGAAAAAAGACCATTAATTTTGATTAAAAAAACTATATTTTCTGGTATGAAACATATCCAATAAAATAGATTTTCTTCATAAATTTAGGCCAAAATGAATTCTGCTACATGTCTTTGGTAAAAAAAAATCCCAATGAGTGTATATTAATTTGTTTGTGTTAAAGCATCTAAAAACTATGGTATGTATACTGGAATTTACACAGCTTTTAAACAGCTCTCACTTTCAGACTACCTATTACATTTCTTGAGGCGCTAAAATGCAGTAAACTTTTTTTTTTGTACACACAGTTGTCACTTTAGTGTGATATTTCTCAATCATGTCATGGGTGTATGTGGAATTACACCACAAAACACATTCTGATACTTCTCCTGAGTATGAGGATACCACGTGAGAGGCTTTTTGGCAGTCTAGTCACATACAGGGGCCCAAAATCCAATGAGCACCTTCAGGCTTTCAGGGGGAGTTAATTATGCATTCGATTTCAGGACTACCTATCACATTTTTAGAGGCCCTAAAATGTCAGGATAGTGCTAACACCCCATGCCCCCCCCCCCACCCGGAAATTACCCCTCTTTGGACACCCCAAAGTATTTGATAAGAAGCATGGTGATTAGTTTTCAGATTTCTTTTTTTCCTTCTACCATGTTGTTGCATGATACTATCTCAGTGTTAATTGAAGAGGTGTGGAATTTTATTGAACCATTTCTTTTCATAATACTCTTAATCACATAAAAAGATCTAACACCAAATATTCTCCTTTAACCTCATGAACAAACTCAAAAATACAATTTGAGCCTATTTGCCTGTCTGATTCAAATTTATATTCGTGCATAAATTGGGTAAGACCTCCTGCGCTTAAATGGAGAAAACTACCAAGAAGCTGCTGTCACCTGACCTGACTTCACTAGGTAAAATGCAATGGATAAAAAATGGTGAAGCGCTAGCAATATGATACAGATTAAATAATGACATAAAATAAACATATAATCAGCAAAAAAATATACAATGCACGAAAATGAAGTGAACATTCAATGTGCTGATCCAATTGGATCTAAAAGTGCTGCTGGAAGTGAAACAGGTGAAACCTGTAGCCATAAAAGTGGACCCTTTTTCCTGATGGAAAAAAAAAACCAACAACCAGCCTCACCCTGTCCACATAGGGGACTAATAGTATATAATAGAGTGACCCCTCAGGGTGTGAAGACACAACAAAGGTGACCAATACAATAGTAAATAATGTAATCACTCCCATATACTATAGTAAATGCACATGCAAAAACATAAATGTCCAGAAAGCACTATATGTCAACGCACAAGTGCATGTATTCAATATAAAGTTCCAAAACGCAGAATAACTGTAAGCAAACAAATAGGTGCTCGTGATAGGTGATCTTCAAACTGGGTGACAGGAATCCTAAATGGCAGAAATGCCCCCTCACCTCCAAGCAGCGACCACAAGGGCCAGCTCGCCTTATGACTCTCACCACGATGCCACGTCCAGACCAAGATGTTGCATAGGGTCCTTTCCCACTAGTAATCTCAGGTCACACTCCCCACAGAGCCATACTGTCAAAGACATAAGCACAGAACATCCTCCATAGTGTAATACATATATTGATCATCAAATATGAAGTTAAAATTGCCCACTCACATGCAATAGTAGAAAAAATCGTATTGCCACCACTTAGTATGGGTGTACTGCAGGGATACCCTGAGGAAGTCATGTGATCATGACGCAACGCGTCGGTAGGTCAGTTCCAGTAACGCACTTCCGGTTGGACGCCATTTTGGGCTCTATCTGAGGATCCATCATTATTGTAGCCATATAATACATTTCCATATTCAGCAAACCTGTCCCTCATTTCAATTTACGATTTACCAATACTTCATAGCGTAAACAAGGTGCCAAGGTTGGCCAAAGATATTCCAATAGCGTTGTTTGTAAAGACCAAAAAAAAACATTTTACAGTAAAACATTGGGGGGGGGGGGGGGTTTGGTAAAGATAAAGACAACGAGGCAGTACATCCATTTTATACATTTCCATTCTGCCCATCCAGGAGTGTTTCTTAGCTGACCAGGCCTGTAGTCTACGAACTGTGGAGTTCAAGACCAGTAAATAATTCAGTTTGTATAATGTATAGCAGATTTCACTTTTTGTTACTTTTTGAAAAATGAAAAAAGAAAAAAATACATTTTAGTTTTCGTTCGTTATTTTCCAAAATGTTACCTTCTGCCTCAATCCAGCAATCTTCAGCAATCTTTTACTTGCAAAAAGGCTGTTATATATTGCATGCACACCCTCAGACCCATTGGAAAGCCATACTCCAAGAGACTGCTTGAGGCAGCCATGAGTACAACTTTGCCATAGGAATGGAGCTGCAGCACACATGCACAGAAGAGAATGGCCATTTTCTGGAGAAAGACTATGTGGCTTTTAGCGGGACCTCCCAATGAAGATCACTTGATTGGAGATGAGGGTAAGTATAACACCAGGTGGATTACTTGATTGAAGCTGAAGGTATAACACCAGGTGAAGAAAATTAAGAGAATAATATTAACAGTTGTACTTTAATTGGTAAACTGAATCAAAGTCCACACTATCCTATACTGAGAAGTATTAAAATTGATAGACTGCTCCTGACTTGTTTTCCCAGTGGCAACAAATCACCAGAACAGGAAGGGAAGAGGAAAACATCCTTATTTGTAAAGTAAGGAGAGGCTAGAACCTTCCTCATCTTTTTATTGCTGACTGCGTTTCCATGTTGCCCTTCTGGGTGACAAGGGTTCTAACCCTTCCCTAAAACAAAAATAGCTTGAGATACACTTTACTTTTACTCAACTGTGAGCATGAAAATAAAATATCTTTATCACAATAAAAAAATTATTAGTCCCTGGTCACACCGATACGACTTTGAAATCATGCGAGTTCACTGGAAGTGGCGCGATTTCAAAGTCGAATGTCATTCCAACTTCAGGTGCGACTTGCAAGACATCTGCGGCTTGCAAGACACAGATGTCTATGCAAGTTGCACCTGAAGTAGTGCATTCACTACTTACAAAATAGGTGCAACTCCAAGCAAGTTGGAATCACATCTATATGACCGCTTTAGTTGCGGGCAATAGGGTGTGACTTGCCATGCGATTTGAAACTTTCATCGCATGGGAAGTCGCACCCATTATGACTGGGCACTAATGCAGAATATATTCTATTTGCAGACTAATTTGATAAACAACTGGATTGATGCACAATACTCTGAACTGCAATTCTGTATTCCTTCTAGGCTTCTTTCTAAAACCTTTCCTTTACTATAAAGGTATTATTTTTCTAATGCAGACACAAATCTTTATGACTTGGCAGTGCTATTTTCAGCAAGGCAGCTGCTAATTATTGGACTCCTTAAATCTGCCAACAGCTGCATAGGTTTTCTGTTTTCCTTGGTCAAGAGGGGGGTTGTCACTCATTATTCCCAGATTTTAAGGCTGGCAGTCAAGATAGTGAGTGAGCAGAAAATCCCCATTCTGCTGACAGGTATACATTCTGTTTATTTGACATTCCTCTGAGTGAGTAATTAGAGTACTTGCAATAAACTATCTCTTTCCGTTGACAGCAATTTAGAAAGTCCAATAGACGAAAAATAGAATTTCATTTTTGGAGGTGGTAACCTGTTAAGTTAGTAGAGGAATAATATAACACTGCCAACGTCCTTCATTTTCCTAAGCCCATGATAGGCAGTCATCCCTTAAATAGACAGAAGATGCTCAAGATTATCCTGCACACAAAGTCTGATTATTGATATGCCATTTAAAACAAAAAAACTCACCATATGCACTATATTTCAAATCAGTTTTAAACAAGAGAAAATGTGTGAAACAGATACTGTCCCATGAGTAGGGACATCATAGGGGTAACTTGATAACGTCATACTACTACTACTCTTGGCTTCGCCATTATTGCCTATTATTTTTATTTTTTTGTTCTTTCTTTGTTTATGAAAACATACTTTTAGGGCTTGTTCACAGCAGGTGTGGTGGGACTGCATAGAGCAGCAGTCCCACCGCAAGACAAGGCAAAATTCCTTGAGGCATTTACTAAACTTGGTGCAGCTGTGCATAGTAACCAATCGCCTTCTAACGTCAGCTTGTTCAATGAAGCTTTCACAATAAAACCTGGAAGCTGATTGCTTACTAGCTGTACCAGATTATGTGTACACCAGTTTTAATAAATTCCCCCCCTTGTCTCCTATGTGGCAGGTTCACACCACTGTGATGTGATGAGTGCTGAAAAAGATTACAGCAGGCTGTACTTTTTTTCCCACAGTGTGAGGCAGTCTGCCACTTTGCAGCACATGGCAGCCGATAGAACTTAATGAAATGTGACTCTGTGACATTTCAATAAAGTTAATAAAGAAAATGAACAGTGTGCTGTGAATGGTACATCAGTGTTTTGGCACTGCAGTTGCACCATAAACCAGCTGGGTGGTGTGAACAAGCCCTTAAAGTGTTACTAAACCCAGAGCCCTGGGTCTCACACAGTACACACAACATGTAAATGCTATTCTTTTAGTAAATGTAAACTGCTAAATACCTTTTCTCATCAGCAGTATATAGCAGTCTAGTGACTTCTATCAGCGTCCAGCGGAGCACATGTTAAAGCTTGTAGGATGAGTTTTCTTTCTGCTCTAGGAGGATGCAAAACCCCTGACCCTCTGTCTGGACAGTGCCGATTGGTCCTGTGCTGAACACATGCACTCTCCCAAGAAAAACAAAAAACCTCTTCAGCAATGCACACTAAACTGAGAATGTGCATGTGGCTATGGGTTAGTCTGTTGTATCGGGTGGACATTTGAACAAGAGGAGGGGCAGAGAAAACAGGATCAAATGGCCTTTTTACACAATGCAAAGGATTAACCCCTTAAGTTCCACAGTGAGTATAACAAGCATGCTTTACTGCGTATACAGACTGATTTTACTGTTGTGGGTTTAGTAACACTTTAAAGCTGAACTCGAGGAAAACAAATTCACTGACTAAGGTTTTAGCCACTAAATGATCTGTTTTTCTGTCTGTACAGTTATGAGATTTACTGTACACTGTACTGCACAGTGTAGCCAGGTGTCAGCTATATTATTATGCCATTCTGGGACATTTACAGATGAGACTAGTTCATCTTTTTCCCCCTATTGCCCAGTACTGGGACTGCTACATTACTCCCTGTTAGCAGAGTAAATTCGGTTTTTACCCAGAATGTCCAAGGTGTCGGGAGGCTTGCAAGGTCCCATGTGGGGGTAGCGCTACAACATTTCACACAATTATTATTATTATCCTAAATGCAATAATCTACATTTTCTGTGATTAGCAAGTTGATATTAATATAAAGTTTTATAGTAATAAAAATAGATTTGTGGTTAGTTCGTAGATGCCTGCAAAAAGTTGGCTAGGGGCTCAGCCTGTGGGGGAAGGTTATTGTTCTATGTCAGCGGTTCTCAACCTGTGGGTTGCAACCCCTTTGAGGGTCGAACGACCCTTTCACAGGGGTCGCCTAAGATCATCGGAAAACACATTTCCGATTTTGGTTTTAGGAACCGAGACACTGCTCCTCTATCAGTCTCCAGGCTTGTCCACCCACATGCAGATACGCCCACATACGAGTAAGAGAACAGTCAGCAGTGATGACACATGACCCCTCTGCCCCAGCCTATCCTCTCCCACAACATCCGCCACGCCCATTGTCTGCACTGCTCACCCAATCATCGATGAGCGGCGACATCATCCCCAGCTCTAAATGCGGGGCAGGGCTTATCGGGATTGAACTTGAACAACCAGGCGAGGTGATGTGTCAAAGGGAAGTGAAAAAGTTTTGACGTCCTCAGATTGGGCGTGGCCTCTGTCAAGGAGCTGGCTAGCTGGGGACTGGGTGGAGGAGGAGAGCGGATCCATGATGGTGGAGGTGAAAGCGGGGCGTATGTGAAGAGAGCTGGCTGCTCTGTGTGGTGGGGATGGGGGAGGTGTGATACCTTGCATGGCGGGAATGATAAGAGCTGCTGTAGTTATGAAATAGCAATGAAAATAATTTTATGGTTGGGGGGTCCCTACAACATGAGGAACTGTATTAAAGGGTCGCGGCATTAGGAAGGTTGAGAACCACTGTTCTATGTGGACATTAGAGGTTAGAAGGCTGAATGGCTGCTGATTCACTGCCAAAGGAAGGAATAGGGTAAGGCCAGCTGCTGACAATAATGACTTCAAGACTTCAATTTTTCTTTTGAGGATAAATTGCTCCACAGTGCCTGCAGCTACAGAAACCAGTGAGGATTTATTTTACAACCTCATTTACTGCTTGTTAAGAATAGGTAAATACTTCAATGTTCAAACTCTCAGCACAGATTTGCTTTAAAATGATTCTAAACAATAAGATTGTAGGAGATGGTGTCTAATCTACTGTACATTTGATTTTTCATACACCGCTATCAAGAAAACCTGTCAAACACCGTTCTCATGACAGTGAACAGAAGAGATTGGAGAGTTAAGTAAGTACTACCGTAAGTACTGGCTTGGAAAAATCTAGAAAGACCTGCATTAGCTTTTCATGCCCACAGCGACAGACTACAACCAAAAGCCCCAGTGCTGGCCCAATCTGTTATTATTGGTTCTTTCTAACAAACAATACCTGACCAAACCTTAGGTGTAAAGAGGAGCAAACTATATTATGTTATGTTTGAGCTGTGTTTCCCTGATTTGCAATCTAGAAAATTGAAGGTGTCAGGTAGGATATTTTAAATGTGTGCTCATTTCTAGCCAGAGATTATAATGGGAGAAATTGAATTTATGGACTGTAGCAATCTGGGGTGGCTACAACGTGAATGCGGAACACTTTTTTGTAAAAAAATGCACTCATCTCTAGAAAAAATATTTTTTTCATTAAATAATCAGTAAAAGTGTATCAATGAAGCAATTGTAAAAGAGATTTGTAAATGTAACCGAGATGAAAAAAAAATTTGTAACAAAAATGTTGCTTCTGAAGCAAAAATGCTTACCAATTTACCATTTTAAAGCTCCAAGTACATTGAATATTTGATATATAAATTCTAATTATGTTATGAATTGCCATATGGTCTTTAGTACTCATACGTTTTACAGGCTAAACGGTGCATAACTGTTAAGCGCATAGGGTCTCTGTTTCTTTCCTTCTGGTGTTAATGACTGAGTCACATGTTCACATTACATTGGAAACCATTTATAAATTGTATTCAGCATTAACAGGTGCAGGAAAATATAAAATAATACTTTGCCCATTTTCCAGATCTCATTTTTAATTAAATAAGGAAAGCACAGTCTTTATAATGCTCTGTAAAAAATTTTATGGATTCATAAAATATCATTTTAATTATCATGATAATAAGGCATAAATTTAAAAAAATGGTCACAGCTTGGAATTTAATTTCAGCTGCCTTAAGATGCACTGGGCAGTTTTGATAAGCAATTAGACCATTTTTAAAGCTAATTAGCTGGGAATGCCCTAAAGTATTAGATAAATAGCCGAGGACTATTATGTGACTGGGGACTTCAAGTATCACTATATATTATGTGAATGCAGAACTACAAGTCCCCAAATTGCCTATAAAACTGTATATTATACACTGGGGTACTATGAATCTCAAAATATCCTTGTACTGTATATGGTATATTATTCAATTGTTGGGCTCAACCCCAACATGACCTCTATACAATCTGTATTACTGGACAGCGGGAATACAAGCTCCAGATTAATCTATGGGCATTATATATTATATAACTGGGAATATAAACTTTATGTGCAGTGCACTATACATCTAATGGGAGAGTATAGATCCCAGCATAACCTTTATACATATATATTTGGTTCTTTAGGACTGCAGGTCCCAGCATTGGCAATATATTTCCATATTAAACCACAGACCTCGGCAAGGCCTGCACATTAAACCCTGGTGCCTTTAAAGTGTTACTAAACCCAGTACCCTGCATTCACTATATCTGATCTCCCACAGTACACAGAACATGGAAATGCAATTATTTTAGTAAATATAAACTGCCTTTTCTCATCAGCAGTATATAGCAATCTTGTGACTTCTATCAGTGTCCAGCTGAGAACTGGCTAAAGCTTGTAGGAGGAGTTTTCATTTTGCTCCGGGAGGATGCAGAATCCCTGACCTCTGTCTGGACAGTGCTGATTGGCCCTGTGCTTATCACATGCACTATCCCAAGAAAAAAAAAAAACCTCTAGCAATACAAACCAAACTGAGCATGTGCAGAGTGACTCCACACACTTATCAGGAGATAAGACGGGAACACTGGAAGAAGTGGATGATTAGAAAAAACAGGATCAAAGAGCGTTTTTACACAGTGCAGACGACTAACCCCTTAGGTTCCACAGTGAGTATAACAAGCATGCTTTACTGCATATACAGACTGATTTTACTGTTGTAGACTTAGTGACACTTTTATATTTAATACCCATGCACTAGCAGCCATGCATCTTTTCATTTTTAATACACCTGAAGTAGAGCGATTCAAAGCTGCAGATCAGTGTGATTTGTACTTCTGATTTCACTGTGGCTTTCAACTTCATTTAACAGAAGTCAATGCAAGTCGCAATGAAATTGGAAAAAAGTAGTGCAGGAACTATTTTTGAAATCATGCTACTTCAGATCACACTGATTAAGACAGTACCACAGAAATACATTAGCTGTGACTTCAGGTGTGATTTGTAAATTGCATGTCCCACCTGAAGTCACACCAGTGTGAACCAGGGCTAAATTTGGTAAAAGAGGATTTGGGCAGCTGGAAATCTTCCTGCTAGTGTTCCACACAGTGGCCAATTCTTTATTTTGGTTTCAAAAAGTAAATAAAGTCTTAAGCCCCGTACACGGTGAGAATATCGGACGAACGATCATCTCACATCGAAAGTGAAAAGGTTACTAAAGATATGAACATTCTTGTACAAAAGAAGAGAATTTCTAAAGTGATGTCATGTATTTGTATTGTATTTTTGGATGACTACTGTACTGAATAAACGAAAATTGTACCATCTGGTATCGTACAAGAAAAATTTGTGCGCTTGTCCCTTTGGATATTGTCACATAAATTGTCGTGATAAGCTCTCGAAAGCTGCGTACTAACGTTCCGATTATCAGACGATCAGTCCTTGTACAAATATTTTCTTACAATTTTCTTATCGTGTGTACGGGGCATTAAGGTGTTACAACTATGTTTGGCTCTGGTGACCATTTTTAATTTCTCAAGCTGAAGTTTAATCACCTGATATTTTGTCTCCCCTGGGTTCTCTTTTCCTCTAATCAGCTAAATAACTTTAAAAAAAAACTTTTCTGTTTGTATTACTTAGCTTTTTTAGCCTTAGTGACATCCTTGCTTGGTCTCGGTGAGAGGGGCTGGCAGAGTGCCGTTCACAGCTTCCCGAAAACATAACAGCACCCTGCCTAAATACTCCTTTGAATAACCCTAAGGCTGGCCATACATTATACAATTTTCTTACAAATTTCTGTACAATTTCCTTTAGATTTTTCAACTATGTAGTGCAAGAGCATGCCTAATTGAATACAATTGAAAGTGTTGTTTAGGTGTGACCTCATATTATATGCTTTATGGTAAATCTAAAGGAAATTACTACAAGAAAATTATATAATGTATGGCCAGCCTAAGGCCTTCCGGAGTGGGACCCGATTGTGTGAAAGAGGCCGGAGCATCTGCAACAATGTTGGACATATTTGCCTCCATTCGTATCCAGATGGTCCTAATATGAGGTTCACCTATTGATACATATACTGCAGTACCTGTTTATCGAGGAGTGTTTTCATATTGGAGGGGCTGTGGAACCTGAGAGGCCTGGAGAATCAATACCAGTAGGGTCCAGGGAGATCCGAAAGGCGTGTTGACCCTTGTGGGTCGCATCAAGGAGGTGAGGGGGCATGCCTGCTATCTAGAATATATGCTCCCCATTTGCACCAGCACTAGAGCACTTTTATGAAGATAAAGGCACTGCTATACATCAATTGTTATTGAAATTGTTGTATTGTTTGGACACTTGGCTTTTATGTATATTAATTTATGTGGATATTTACACCAGTCACTTTATTTGTGTTAACACTGATATATATCCCAGAGTGGGGATACTTCACTATTTTATATTGTCACTTATTAGTTGGTCGTTGGTCCCTTTTAGGGACTGGTTGCTAGCACCTTATAGGGTCCTTGGTTCAAGACCCATTTATTCATTGCACTTTATTAAAATTATAATTGGCACGTTTTCTTACACTTTTTATAGATCCAGTAGGATCTTACACAGTATTTATACTATTGTGTGACATATATGTTAGTTTGATTGTATTTTATTTATAGTAATTTGTATGTATATTTAGCGCTACACCATTATTGTATATATTGCATTCATTTTGTCCGCACATAGGTAGAGGATTAGGTGTGAGCAGCTATTCATCATTTGGGTTCCATAGCAGCGCAGGGGGAGCTTTATATTATTTTGGTGTAGAGTTATTCACCCTGAGGTCATCACAGAGGACAAGGGGGAACTCTTTACGTCTGGAGGAAAAGAAATTTAATCTCCAAACACGGAAAGGTTTCTTCACAGTAAGAGCTGTGAAAATGTAGAATAGATTCCCTCAAGAGTTGGTTCTGGCCAACTCAGTGGATTGTTTTAAAAAAAGACCTGGATTCTTTCTTGGATACACAGAATAAAACGGGATACTAACATTTATAGGTAAAGTTGATCCAGGGAATATCCGATTGCCTCTCGGGGGATCCGGAAGGAATTTTTTCCCCTGCAGGAGCAAATTGGATCATGCTTTGCTGAGGGTTTTTTTGCCGTCCTCTGGATCAACTGTGGGTGTAGGATTGTAACTTTTTTTTTTTTTTTTTTTTTTTTTTTTTTTTTTTAATGGTTGTACTGGATGGAGTTTTGTCTTTTTTTCATCCAGACTAACTATGTAATAAAGATGTTAACAAGCAAAAGTGTGTTAAAAATGTTTAAAATATAATGAAAAATAGCTAGATCAAGTGTTTGTATTAGGGTCAGGGCAAGGGTCAAAGGTTGGGGTCAAAGGTCAGGGTCCGTATATTTTGGGTGGGATTTTTTCTTAAAATTAGTGTTGTCAGTTTGTGCTTGTATTTTAGGTAGGATTAAAAAAGCAAAATTGTTTCTGGGCCTTACTACAGGTATAAGCAACAACTAACATACATTTGTGGTATTGCTACAATCATCAGGAGCAGGAAAATTTATTTTGGAGTTTGTTTTGGTGGTAAGTTATGGTAATGGCAAGAAACATAAATTAAAACAAAAAGTTTGATTTGTTTGATGATAAAATGTTTGGAGATATCCATTACCATTTACCACCAAAAGAGAGCCAAATTTGTCCAGAACAAACAAGGTATAATCCACCCGGATACACAAAGTAGTTGCCATGAAATGTACAGTTTAATAATGCATACCAATGTTTCAAAATTGTGTTCAGACATTAAAGTGTTACTAAAGTCTATTTTTTAAATTAAAAACACAAACATGTTCTACTCACCTGCTCTGTGCAGTGGTATTGCACAGAAGGGCCCTGATTCTCATTTTCTCAGGTCCACCAGTGTTGATCTTTGCTCCTTCTCTTCTTTGTGTGTCCCCATAGCAAGACATTTGTTATGGGGGCACATGGTGTATGCTCACTCCTAGGCTGTGTGTCTATGGAGCCATGCTCCACTTCCTCCGCAATGCTTTTGATTGACAGCAGCAGGAGCCAATGGCTGCTACTGTTTGAGTCCCTGTGTGAAGAGGAAGAGAGGGGAAAAAGATGCAGCTGTGCACAGCGCTGAATCTATTCTCCCCTCTCTTCCCCTTCACACAGGGTAGGGGGAAGACAGAGAAATTAGACAATGTTTTTTACCTTAATGCAAAGAATGCATTAAGTTTAAAAAATGTTTTTAGTTTTAGTATCTCTTTAACATTTGTTTTATTCTCAGCCACTAGGGCGTAAAGGTTTGTTTTACCTTCTGGATTAAGGGGTTAATGACATTTAATAAATAAATACATCTATATAGTAATAATTATAATATTCATCATCATCATAAAAATATTAGGCTTCTTGTCAATTTTGGAATAGGAATTCCTTGGCGTCACTCTGGACTCAAACCTTTCCTTCCAACCTCATGTCAAATCACTTACAAACACATGCAGGCTCCACCTCCGCAACATCGCCAAGATACGCTCCTTCCAGACACCACTAAACTACTCGTTCACTGCCTGATTATCTCACGCCTTGACTACTGCAACTCCCTTCTCACCGGCCTACCCCAGCGCAGGCTCTCCCCCTTCAGACCATCCTGAACTCAGCAGCTAGACTCATCCACCTCACCAACCGCTCCCCCTCTGCCACCCCCCTCTGTCATGCCCTCCACTGGCTCCCGGTTGCCCAACGCATCAAATTCAAACTACTGACTCTGACCTACAAAGCCATTCACAACACTGCCCCTACCTACTTCACCAACCTGATTCCCAAGTACCACCCTACCCGTACCCTTCGCTCCTCACAGGACCTCCTTCTGTCTTGCTCCCTGGTCTCCTCCTCCCACGCACGACTGCAAGACTTCTCCAGGTCCTCCCCCATCCTCTGGAACTCACTGCCCCAATCCATCAGGTTGTCGCCTTCCCTCCTCACCTTCAGGCGCTCTCTAAAAACCCATCTCTTCAGGGAAGCCTACCCCACCCTTACCTAACAGCCGTCCTCCTTCATTTCTCCTACCACTCCATCCCCCACAGCCACTTCCTCCTTTGCCACTACCCCCTCCCTCCTAGATTGTAAGCTCGAGAGTAGGGCCCGCTAACCCCTCGTGTGCTGTTTGTTGTTGCTGTGCTGTTTCATGTATTGTCCCCCCCCCTCTATTGTACAGCGCTGAGCAAACCCTTTGGCGCTATATAAATTCGATGTAATAATAATGCAAACTGTATTGGCGCTACCTTAACTGCGTAAAGCTGGGCATGACAGCAAAAACTGCAGCAGAGGTAAGGCTGGGGGCTTCCACAAAGTGATCATATCATTAGAGACCTGAAAGAACAGAATTAGTCAATGCAGAAAAATTAAGATGGACATCGCTTTTGCAAAAATTGTGGCAGTTTCCTGTTTGAGTGTTGTCAATGAAAATTGATTAGGGGCCATCCTACGTTGTGGAGCTGGATCCCAATTTCAGAATTAAACTGTCACTGTTACTATAGGTGTATGACAGATTATTAAACAGGATTCCATTTTTAATTTGACTTTGAATATCTCCCTAGGTGTTTTCTGCTCACATTATAATACTAGAGTTCTACAAGCAAACG